TGGGGAATGGTCTCTAGCCTATGGCACACTCGGACCCTGCATGTAGCCATGTCGTTCAGCAGCCTGCCACGCTCTGCCGACCTTGGGACTTAAAATGGACTTGAATGAATGGCCTGCCATGTGGTTTGGTAACATCAGAACTGTGCCATTTTATTTGTCGACCTTGGGCTTGTTAGCCTTAGCACCCAGTAGCTGCCTGAGGGAAGAGATGCCTCTAGCTTCAGTGGGCCGGGAGCAAGAGGTAGAGGTGAAGCCCAAGGGCTTTCACACAGCCCCTAGAGCCTGGCACTTTGAACTTGGATTTAAAGCCTCCAAACTGTTAAGAGAATAAACTCATCTGTTGACGCCACCCCATTGGTGGTGTCTTCTTGTCAGAGAGGCACTAGGGAACCAGAACAAGAGGGTTAGCAAAAAAGAGGAAGCCCCTCAACCAGATGGATTCGCACAGTGGCTGCAACGATGGGCTCAAGCACAGCATGGACTGTGAGAATGGCACAGGACTGGGCGGGGTTTCGTTCTGTTGTTCACGGAGATGCAGTGAGTTGGAGCCGACTTGACAGCACCTAACAACAACCCAACCATTTCAGGAGGTAGCATATGATCAAGAACTGATGGTACGGAAGAAGTCCAAGCTGCAATGAAGGCATTCATGAAAACCAAGCCTCCAGGCATTGACACACCACCCACTGAGATGTTTCAACAGAAGCAATGGTAAAAGTGCCTACTCATCTATATGAAGAAATTTGGAAAACGGCTACCTGGTCATATCTGTGCCAATTCCAGAGAAAGGTGATCAAGAGGAATTTGGAAGTCCATCCCTATGGTGATGAGGGGAGGAAATCGCCGGGTAGCACACACCTAGGCAAGACAGGTCTCCTAGAGGCCTTAGCACTTTGTTGTTGTGTGGAGTTGGTTTTAATTCATAAGACAGAGCACAGCTGCCACATGGCAATTCCTAGGTTATACTCTCTTCTGGGCATTTTTAGGTGACTTTAATTATGCAGCATATTTTACAGTGATTCTTGATTTTCGTACCTCCACGCCGATACACGAGTTATTACTTGAGCTTGCTTTTCCTGTGAGATTTCCCAGGGCCCGAGCATCACATTAATCTTTGTTCTTTGCACGCAGATTTTACTTCCTGGCTTGCTTGTGTTTCTACCAAATGTGACCCCACGTCTGTGCTGAGTGGAATCTCTGAATTTCATTGCTTACTGATTATAGCAGAGCTTGGTTTCCTAGAACTTTCAAAACTGACGTCTCACAGCACAGAACAAGGGACGTTATTTCTGCATTGCTCAGGGGCATTGTTACAACAAAACAAAACACCCAAACCTCAGCTCAGGAACGTCTCTCATGTGGTAGGTCAGTGCTGTGGGGGCGGCAAGGCCACGCCCGAGCCGAGGTGGCAGGTGACACCAGCCTTGGTGCCCCCTGGCTCCCTGCTCACTCTCGTTCTGCCCCTCGCTGTCACTGGCTTTTTAAATTCTCTTTCCACTCACTTGCTTCCACCAGGTTTCAACCGACGATAGCTCTCTCTCTTTCTTCTGCCGAGCAGCTGGTGGGTTTGAACTGCCAGCCTTGCGGTCAGCAGCTGAATGTCTAACCGCTGTGCTATCGCGGTCCTCCCACATGGGTCGACCCATACAGTGAGCACTAAACTCCACTGAAGGCAGTTAGCCCCAGAGCAGTTAAAAGGGAACAAAACTCAAGGTCCTGAGAAGACCAGCCTCACTGGACAAACTGGTGGGACCCTAGGACTGTGGTCACAGACGTCCTTCAAGCCGAGAACTGAACGCACCCCTGTGGCTCAACTCTCAGCCCAGCAGACAGGTCTGTGAGGTGAGTCCCCACACCCCCATCCCCCCCCCGCCACCCCACCTCAGTCAGTCCCTGCATCCCAGGTCCTCCAGGGCAGCCCCAGCCCCTGCAGGCAATGGAGTCCTCACTGTCACGGGGGGTGTGAGAGGACGAGCAGGACACAGACACGCGGGTGGGGCCTGTGCAGGGACGACAGGTGTGAGCCGCCCAGGCACAGAACATGAGAACCCCGTGACAGATGTCCTCATTGCCATCACTCAGAGAGGACCCCAGCACTCCACACATGACCAGGCGCAAGCACATCTGTCCGTGTCTTTATTGCCCTGCATGGCTGTGAACTGCACACAGTAGTCCAGACGGTGTACCCCAAGTGAGGCTGGCCCACAGCACACAGCGTCCTCGTGCGGGCGGCCAGAGCACACCTCTCCCACTCGGGTACAGGGCAGGAGCGGGCGAGCTGCTGACCCTGACGGGCGGGGGGCTACGTGGCCTGGCCTGGGTACATGGAGCTGGGGCTCCCACCCTCACCTGCCTGAGGACCGTGGGGCAGACGGGTCGGGGCCAGCCAAGGCTTCACGGCGCCCACAAAGACGAACCCGACACCCAAGAGTTAGTGCCCGGCATCTAATGCGGTCTTCTGGGAAGGACAGACCGCACAGCCCTGCAGAACCTGGTCTCACACATCTGGGAAGGACAGACCGCACAGCCCTGCAGAACCTGGTCTCACACATGGTTATATCCCGCAGCACTCCTCAGGACTCCTGGGCACATAAACACGACGCTGGCCTCGGCATCCAGGACGCCACGCTGAGGGCCTGCTCCTCCGCCTGTGACCCCCACAGAGGGGAGAGACAAGTCTGTGTCCTTCAGAGACAGCCTGTGTGGATGAGCACTCAGAGGTGGCGGCAGGCCACGTGGAGACTGACAGAGGTGGTCAGACCTCACGGAGGCTGGCGGCTGAGAAAGTGGTCACGGGCTACGTGGAGGCGAGTGGCTGATGGGGGTGGCTGCAGGCCAGTGATTGATGAGGGAGATGGTCACAGACTTTGCTGAGGCTAGCTGGTGGCAGCAGCCAGACGACGTGGAGGTTAGCTGCTCGTGGAGGCAGCTGGCTCCGGGGACTGCAGGAACTCGTAGGGGTCGTGGGTCACGTCCGGCTGCTCCCCAACGCTCAGGTGGGATGGGCTGCCTGTAGTGGTGGGAGAGATGGTATCACACACCAAGGAGACTGGGCCACGTGGCTAAGTGTTTGAAGGGTGGCCTCGACACTGGGTCCTGGGGAAGGGGAGGCAGAGGCCATTCTGCAGAGAGGAGGGCCAGACCCTGCCTAACGGGTTGGCCCAGCGCCTGAGCAGAGTATATGGCTGCTTCTGTAGCGATGACTCTGGCTGGGGTCTCCAGGCAACACTGCCTGCCAACAGCCTGACAGCTGACACAAAGGCCTAAGCCACAGGGAAGCTGGATGGGAGGACCTGCAGCCCTGCTCAGCGTAAGGGTCTGCAGCATGTTACTGATTCTTGAGGAAAATGCCAAGGTGTGCTACCTTGCTAAAGAATGATGAGATGCTCCCATCCGAAAACCAGAATGACAGCAGGGAAGAGAAGCAACTGAGCAAGCCTGTGGGGCCATGTGGCACACAAGCCACCCGGCCAGGGGCCAGCAGAGGTGCCATGGGCCCCACACATTCACACACAGTGTCTGTGACCAGGGTCGGGATGTCGGGAGGCCCGTGGACAGACCTGGGGGGACAGACGTTCCCCATTCATGGGGCCTGGAACAAGCTGGGCACCTGCAGCCCAGGCCCCGTCCTGCACCACTTGCCTGGGGCCTGGGTCCCAACCAGAGTTAGTGCAATCTGTGGCCATGGTCCCAGAGCAGGAGCAAATCCACCTGAAAACACGCTTTCAAGGCAGCCCGCCCTGAGGGGTGGACGGCTGGGAATGAGTACAGTGGACAACTAAACCCACACTACACACAGCCCACACTCAAACTGCACATACGACACACCAAACTCATACCAGGGACCTCCATGTTCACACATACCATGGACCTCCATGTTCACACCACGCACCATCTTCACACCATGCACCTCCCACACACACTCTCCATGTCCACACCAAGCACACACCATGCTCATTTATACCACTCCCCAATTCACACCACTCCCCATGTTCACACCATGCACACATCACGGGCCAGGTTCACACCACTCCCCATGTCCACGCTATGCACACCCACCCCACACATTCACACTACCCACACACTACACATCACATTCACACCACATACCCCCTTTATACCACACTCCACAGTCACACCATGGACGTACCACATTCACACCATTCCCCAAATCCACTCCCAGTACACATCATGGATCTCATTTATACCACGCACACATCACACTCACACCACACCTTATGTCCACTCCATGCCCACACCACGCACACACCACCCCCCATGATATGCACACATACCACGCACAATGTTCACACTTATGTGTACCATTATTTACACCACGACCCATCATTCCATACAGGAACCATTCACATCACGCACACTCCACACTGCTCCCATGTTTACATCACGCACACACCACATTCACCTTGCTCCCCATGTCCACACCACGTACCACCATGCTCCCACTACACACCACCGTGCACACTAGCCTTCACACACCAACACATAGAGTCCAGCCTTTAGAACCTCAGCCTCTGAAACACTAGCTTCTTACCCCAACACTGCCTACTACCCCCTCTGTACCTAAAATGGGTTCTGGGTGGAGAAAGTATGGGAACTGGCCCCTGTGGCAGAGCCTGGAGCTTACCCAGGTGGTGTGGGTCCCTCTCAGAGGCGTTGGACAAAGAGCTGAGGTTGGACGAGGGCCGGGAGCCGCCACGCTCGGTCTGCGCCTCATGCAGGTCTTGCAGCAGCTTCGTTGTCTCATCCAGGCCAAGGTGGCTGTCATCGGGGTCGAGCTCCTTCTTCACCTTCCCTGTGTAGATGAGCAACGCCGTGAGGGTCGGGAAGGCCACAACACGGAGATCAAACCGGGTAAGATGTGATGCCTGGCACCTCCACCTCTGCAGTACGTTCCTCACGCATCAGCACTCTCAAGACTGGGCCACTCCCAATGTCAGGAGGGTGACCACACAGTCTTGGGAGTGAGCAAGAGGGAGACAGTGGGAACGGACCTAAGTAAGGCAGAGGCAACAGTGCTAATGCCACCTCACTGAGCCAGTACTGGCCAGAGGCAACAGCATCAATGCCACCTCCATTAGCCAGTGCCAGGAAGAGGCAACAGAACCAACGTCACCTCAATGACCCAGTGCTGACCAGAGGCCACAGCGCCAACGCCACCTCACTGAGCCAGTGCTGGGCAAGACTTCAGCATCACACTGCGCCTCAGCTCTTGTCCACTCACCAGCAATCACAGGGCTGTCACAGAGAGGCTGTGGCTAATTCTGTCCTGCTGTGAACGAGGACAGTGAGGCCATTAATGTTGGACACAGGGCTGAGTGTGGTGCCCATGGCTACCCAAGCTTACTGCTGGTGCTGGGTCCCAGACCACAGCACAGGATGTCTGGCACAAACCAGGGAGAGGGGCTGCCTAGAGAGCCTGAGACCTGCACATGCTTCCAATCTGTGTGTGAGAAGTGCCCCAAGGTGAAGTGAGGATCATTGCAATGTCAGGTGCACGTGTGGTTGCAGTAACTTGCGTCCCAGCAGCTAGGGCCTCAGGAAACCCTCAGAAGGGTGCAGGTGTGTGATGGGACACCCACCATAGGACCCAGTACTTTTCCAAGCAGTGAGGGTCCCTACTGGAGGGCCTAGGAGGTGCTGGGCCTGTCTGCACACTGCACTGCCAGCCTTGACAGGCCTGTGGCCCAGACCACCTGAGCATCTGCAGACAAAGTCTACCAGGACTGAAAGAATGTAGCCAACTTGGCACCCAGCAGTACAGGCACGTGCTGCTCGTAGCTAGTAAGTTTCACCACTCATGCAAAGAAGCAGTAAAGGTAGCCAAACCAGGAACAAACACCTTGTAAAAGAGATGAGAGACCTGCAGACAAGCATGCATGACAACAATGGAGTGGGCTCCCTGCACTCTGAGGGCCCATGGCACATGGGGGAGAAGAGCATTCAGAAACAAAGCCTAGCATCTGACTTGAGCCACTCTGGGGGCTGACAGAGGGAAGGTCCATGCTTACGGCAGAGTAAGGACCCACTTGAGCAGAGGAGTAGAGAGTCCAACATATGTGTAAGTGGAGCCCCAGGAACAGGCTGGGTGGCAGCCAAGGAATTGCAGATTTGATAAAAGCTATAAACTACAGATCCAAGCTTAACAAAACCCAGAAAAAAATAAAGAAATCAGATCAAGGAATGGTATCATCAAAGTGCTGAAAACCAGCAACAGAGAACCTCACAGCCAGAAAGAAAGAATCGTGGGTATGCAGAGACAGACTCACACAGCAGTTTCCTGCTGTCCTTGGAAAGTTCTGGCAGCAAGGGGGCCCAGCTAGTGTCTAGGACTCAGGCAGGTTCCCCTACACCCCCAAGACAGTGGTTCCCTATGTTTAGACTTTTCAAACAATGTGGTTTATGCTGAATACCTCCTCTCCTCTGGGAGTGTGGGGGAAGTGCTGACATGGCCAGCCCCTAGTGAAAACCCTAGGTGCTGGGTCTCTAATGGACTTCCCTGGTGGCCACTACTTCACAGGTTGTCACATTTGTTGGGAGAATGAAATGTGTCCTGTGTGACCCCACAAGGAGAGGACTCTGGAAACCCCTGCTGGTTTTCCCACTCACCCGTGCATCTTTCCCCAGGCTAACTCTCCTGGGTTCTTTCATTGTGACAAACCACAGGGAACATGGCTATCTGATGAGTTCTGAGAGTCCTCTGGGTGAATGATCGATCATACCTGGGGGTGGTCTTTAGGACCCCCAATATGTTTGGGAAACAGATAAAGCAAATAACAAGATGGAACACTTGAGTCCAACCCTATGAGTAAGTGCACCAGACACAAATAGACTTGTGCTCCAGCCAGAGAGCAGCAGTTCCCGAAGGCAATGAGGTTTTCTCATCTGGCGGGACGTGGGGACACCAGCTACCAGAAACATAGGCCCAGGCTGTCAGTGACAAATGACATGGGCCATTTCCTTATAGCCAAACCCAGTCATGTGCCTGAGGAGGATGGTGTCAATTTAAGAAGCCATGTGGACACATACTGCTGGGACTTACCCAGAGAGCTGAGCATGGAGATATCGAGAGAGACATCAGAGTACGGCTTCATGGACATGAAGTCTAGAACAGAGCCACCGCTGTCTCCAAGTGGGTCCCCGATCTGCTCAGAGACAAGGTGGGAGGGCACAGAGGTGGTACATTACTAATGGGCAGATAGTGTTGACTGCTGATGCCATCCTACTCATCGGCTGAGTCCCAGCACCAAGCATGACACCCTCACAAGCCACACCACCCTCTCCCTGACTCCCGGTGAGTGGACAAGACAGAGATGCCACGTAACTTATGGCTCCTCCCACGGCCACTGGTCTGAGCTCACCAATGGGTGGGCAAATCCACTCAGACCAACAATGCTAGCAGACAAACAAAGACCACTGGCTCTCTGGGGGAGGGAGTTTTTCAAAAAGGCGCTGAGAAAACAGGAGACACTGCAGAGAGTGGAGACGTGGATCTGACGGCCCACGACGCTGTGGGGCAGGTTGCAAGCCAAGTTCCTCTAGTCCACTGAGCATCCCCAGCATAGCTGAGCTCTCGTAGTTGTCCTCTGTTCTCTGCCCCCAAATTCCTACTACTCGCCCTCAACGCGTCCAGCCCACACTGCCCACGTGATGCCAGTGAGCCCCACACACTCAGTTCCACTCACACAATGCCCAGTGAGCCTCCCACACCCTGTTCCACCCACACAATGCCCAGTGAGCCCCCATCCTACCCGTCCCACCCATGCAATGCCCAGTGAGCCCCCCCACCCTGTCCCATCCACGAAACATCCAGTGAGCCCCCTCCTACCCCCATCCCACCCATGTGATGTCCAGTGATCCCCCCAACCCCACCCATGAAAAGCCCATTGAGTTCCCCCACTTATGCACCCACCCCACCCATGCAAAGCCCAGTGAGCTCCCACCCCCCCATGAGATGGACAGTGAGCCCCCCGCTCCCCAGCTCACCCACAAAACACCTCCTGACCCTCCATCCTGCCCATGAATACCCAGCCTCCCACCCCCATTTTGCTCATGAAATGCCCAGTTACTCCCCTCTACTCCTACCCCACCTGAGGACCCATAGTACCTGATCCATCAGCACTTCTCCCTACACTGTCGGCCCGCCTACTGTGCCACAGAGCCTGGATGTCCTCCAAGTGTCACACAGCCATGGGACACTTCCTACATACCACCCACCATGCACTGTGCCACGGAGCCTGGATGTCCTCTGCGTGTCACACGGCCATGGGACACTTCCTACATAACACCCACCCGTGCACTGCACTGTGCCACGGAGCCTGGATGTCCCCCACGTGTCACACAGCCACGGGGCACTTCCTACATACCACCCACCCGTGCACTGTGCCACGGAGCCTGG